ATGTCAAGCAAGAGGCACTCTCTTCACCTATAGAAAGTCCCCTGAATTTTTCAACTTTCCTACTGCTGACCTCCAGAGTCTCTGACGTAGCCAGCCTATCCCGGAGCGGCATATTTCAAAGCTAATTTTAATGACACCTCATTCAAATTTCCAAAGTTGTCCACAAGTTACGGTGACACTTTTCTATCAAGGAGGTAGAATCTTGTTGCAGAAAGCTTCTTTTCTATGCACTTATTTGTGACTTCACCTATTATACTAAATCATTTTATTACTGGAATTTTTTAAAATTACTTTAATGCCGATTGCACATTTGGCATATTTCTGTTAATAATCATTTTTGTTTCTTAATTTTCAATCCAACATAAATTGGGTTTAAAAAAGGTTTCTGGAGGAGAGATATGCAAATTGCCTTCATCTTGGTAAATCTTAATTCTTATTCAAATGTTACTTTATCATGGGGGGATTCCTGATAGAAGGCCCCATTCATCTTCTCCAGCAATACTTACATGTACACTGAATAGAATAGAATAACAGAGTGGGAAGGGACATTGGAGGTCTTCTAGTCCAACCTCCTGCTTAGGCAGGAAACCCTACACCACTTCAGACAAATGGTTATTTAACATCTTCTTAAAAACTTCCAGTGTTGGAGCATTCACAACTTCTGGAGGCAAGTTGTCCCACTGATTAATTGTTCTAACTGTCAGGAAATTTCTCCTTAGTTCAAGGTTGCTTTTCTCCTTGGTTAGTTTCCCTCCATTGCTTCTTGTCCTGCCTTCAGGTGCTTTGGAGAATAGCTTGACTCCCTCTTCTTTGTGGCAGCCCCTGAGATATTGGAAGACTGCTATCATGTCTCCCCTAGTCCTTCTTTTCATTAAACTAGACATACCCAGTTCTTGCAACCATTCTTCATATGTTTTAGCCTCCAATCCCCTAATCATCTTTGTTGCTCTTCTCTGCACTCTTTCTGAAGAGTGAATAAAATACTATGTCCAAACATTCAATCCAGTGGATAAAGAGACTTCTAATAACATTACAATACATCAAAAATCACCCCTCTTGAAATGATAGCCAAGCAATAATCTTGCAGATTCCAAAAAACTCTCAAAAAGATCTCCCATTAGCACCTAAAAAAGATTTCCTAATGAAAAACCATCTCCTTCTTAGAAGATCAGTTACAGGAAGGTGCCAAAATCAGTGCTCTGCAGTCTATTTGTGAAATGATACCTCCTTGGGTAGGCTGAAGAAATGCTATCTGAATTATTAGGTGGATTTACTCAGTTATTTTTGAGAGATGAATGCCTAAAAGACACAAGGAGAATCTTATTGACGTGAAAAAAAAATGAGAACCCTAAATTAATCCAATTCGTATTTTGAAAATCCCACTTGAATGGATAAATTTGGAGAACAAGATACCATGAACTTAATCCATGATAAGAATGATTCATGATTATCCATGTGAAAGCTGTGAAAGTCCTTCGTTGCAATTCTGAACATTGCCAGGGTGGAATTTTAGTCAAAGGCACTGATGGTGTTACTTCATTTGGTAAGAAAACGTTTCCAACAAAACAACCAAGCTCAGAGAACACACAAAGGACCCCACAGGAAAAAGGAAAATTCTGCTTTAGCAACAGATACCCAATTCGCTGCCTAAAACTAGAAACAGGAAAGTCATTCAATGCTGCTGTCTTCAGGAGCCCACCCATGCGGAGAGAAATGTCCTAACACTGAAAGCAAGGAAAAGAAGTGTGCTAGTTTTGCCTCAAAACAGAAAGGACTAATTTGGGAAGACCTCAGCCACGAGTCTCCCTAACCGATCAACCCTCTCTCCATGCTGGTGAGATAGGGAGGAGAACATATGAGTAAAATCAAGAGAGCTGGTTTGATTTTTGAAAAACGTTCTAAGAAACCTATCTTATTATCTTCTTTCACTTCTTTTAGGCCTTGACATCTGTATGTCTTTGATCATCTAAAGCAGTGGTCTGGGGTCTGCGAACTGGCAGTGGTGCGGGCGGGGCATGATCATGACCCCTGATCTAGCACAAATCGCTGGTTCTTAGTCTTTAACTTCATAAGTTTAGGCAATATATATATATATAAAACTCTCTTTCTCCAGAGAGTAAGACATCTGTGTACCAAGTTTGGTTGGTAACCAAATTGCTCGAGACATTCCAGAGTTATGCTGGAACATACATACAGAGCCTATATAACTCTGGAATGCCTCGAGCAATTTCAACCAAACTTGATACACAGATGACTTACTCTCTGGAGAAAAATGCTGTGGGTGGTAAGACATCCCTAACACCCCTCGGATTGTGTGTTCTGTTAAGATACAGCCTGTTGTGCCTTAAAATGGTTTCTATTGTACTGCCATAAAATGGCTTCTAATGTGCAGCGCAGTGGAGATGCCATGGTAACAGCTTCACAGTACTCCACAAGGGGGCTCCCTCTGGTAAGGGGGAAAATCCAGCATTAGAAATTACGTTTGGTCTGGACATTTCCCCCCTATAAATAAATAAATACCCGGGCAATGCTGGGTTATCGGCTAGTATTATATATAATATAGAGTAACATATACCTATCACTTCAGTAGACTGAATTGTTTTTGGAAGCTGACCTTTCAAAGCTCAAGTTCAAAAATGGAGTGGCTATTCTAAGCCCCATCTTTCTGCTGGACTAAAGGAGATGATAAGAAGAAGGCTGAATGTTGGCACTGTGAGGAATCAGAAACAGATTTCAAGCGGATTTGCAAAATTAAGTTTGTCTGTAAGGAGAGGTCAGGGAAGGGTATATAAACTGCTTTTTCAGTGCAATGTGCCAGTTCTTTCTCCAAGAATTTCTTGGGTCACTATAACGATGGGATGAGGGTCATATCTTTCAAATGATGTGTAGCCGCATCCATTTTTCAGTATATTTAGGTGCGGTAAGGTCAAGGACACAACTACTAAAAGGATTTTCATGTTTTGGTGTTATACAGAAGCTCAAATAAAATAAAATAAAATAAAAACCCCAACTAGACAAGAAAAAGAAATGAGTCAAAAAGACGTATAACATTAATGGACACCCATCCATTGCAAAAATACCCTGGATAAGCCCAATAATTTTTTTTTTTTAAAGATGTTATGAATTAATGTAGTGGCAGGGAATCCAGAAAAGAGGACCATACATTCTTGGTGTTTCTCTATTATACAAAAAATAAGAAAATATTTAAAAAACAAGCTTCTTAATATTTTGGTCTACGTCCAGCTACTCCTTCAAAGCAGTTAACCGTAGATTTAAAGGAAAAAAAACCTGATTAGCATAGCATGCAGAAAGATTAATTTCTAGTTATATAAAAACTAAATTTATGATCCAGGAAACATTCTACTCTTTTAGACCGTTACTCATTTTAAATTTTGTGTTCTCAAGCTCTACACTGCATTCATGGGCACTGGATATACTACTCCGATTTGATAAACCTAGCTACTAAAAATGACCTAAGGTATGTTAACACTTGGCGCCACTAATATGTAGAAATCGGTTGGAATCAACCTTCTCTTCTGCAGACAACTGGAGGAAGCGTTTTATCCAGTTTTCATTGGAAAGCGGCGAAACACCCAGATCCTGCCTTAAAATGCCCCATTTTAAATGAGTGGCAGAACAGATAAGACTGGCCTTGTGGCTCTGGGATATCAGTGCTCAAAGTCAGCAGTTCAAGAAAGGCCCATTCATGGGAGCAGAAGGGGGGGGGGATTGGCTCCTCCATGCCAAAGTATGTTTTCCCCAGAAAGTACAATTTGTCAGTCCTGGATTGGGAATGCTTGCAATTCCGGGAGGGGGGGGGGGGGGAAGGTAAGAGGGGGAGGGAGGGTGAGGGTGAGAGACAGGGAGGGAGGGAGAGAGGGAGAGAGAGATCCCACATGAAGAAACATGGGGTGGGGGAGTTTTAAAA